TGGGGGCGTTGACCCCCGGAACTCTCTCCAGGTAAACTCCTGGTTAACTCAGTCGATTTATACACTTCCCCTCACCCACGTAAAACTTACGAATCCTCTCCTTGGCCACACTGTCCCAACATTATCAACCCTTTTTGCCTCCTCGCCTAGCTTCCTCCACAACGAAGCGAACCCCCCCTCCACTTCCTCATCCTCAAGGAGTCGCGTGTTTAATTTCCAGTAGCTTTCAAACCGTTTCACTAACGAATCCCATGCCACTCCCACAACCACGCCTGAAGATAAAATCCTTATTATCATACTAAGAAGACTATCTACTACACAAGGTCATTAAGACTATCTACAATACGAGGGTCAATACAATGAAAAAGGTAAAAATTTACCACTTATGTTAGCTAAAATATCAGAAAATCATTCCCCTCCCTTTCTGTAGCTTACATTCATCAGACAACCTTTTGGCCCTCTTTTGAACTGTTCAACGCAATACTGGCTTTGACATGTCGGTCAGTCTGTTCCATTCCCTTTATTGCTGTACAATAAAAGGGGTTTGAAGCCTGCCCTGACTGTGGGTACTACAAAGATGTGCTCTCATCCCCGCTAGTAAACTATGATTCTTTTGGTTCCCAACCTTGACAAAATTGACAGTCAAGATATTCTGGACAATGTGAGCAATATTATAGAACATGAATTTTAGCATCATTGTTTTAACTCTGTCTCAACATCACATATCCAACTGCTGTAATTCATCCTGCCTACATTTTCTCTTGGTCCCAAGCCCCAGTAAGAATTTTAACGATTTTGTTCTGGTGTGATTTTTGCAGTCTCAGTTTTTTTGTCAAGGCAAGTTACTGGCTAACCATTCTGTATTTGAGGCAAATCTGAATTGGTAGTTACAAATGATAACATTTAGATTTCCTCAATACCTGTCATGTACGAAGGAATAACGACATTCAGGTTGATCATCTGACTGATTATCAGGAAAGAGTTCAGATCAGGAGGATTGTCCAGTCCTTTTGCCTGTCACATCTGTCACATCTGTATAGTTAACCTGGTGATCCATATTCGTTGTCCAAGTGATCCTTAAGTGGGTCTCAGTGAAAACCGCGAACATTGCCTTTCCCTCTGCAAGCAGTCCACGGATTGAAAGGTAATTTTGTTGTTTGTTGCGTGGCTTTAGACCCTGTATATTTGCAAAGATGTTACGGACTGTGGTAATTGTTGGTACTGGGGGGATTTTTTTTTCCTGTGCGATTATATCTGTATCTGTTGGGTTGGAGTGGGAGGCCATCGGTAGTGGTCCACTTCCAAATTCAAAGTTTAATCTCAATAAGGGATTACAATGCAGAGTTTACAGAAAATTTTGGTTATTTGTTTGTGGTTTACCTGTTGAAAATAGTAATTACAGAGTGCTACCACTAAGAACGTCTTAGCATGGCTAGGCATTTTCGGGCAGACATATTTTATTCTTAATTTGTAAAATATTACAAATTATGAGGTAAGTTGTATTAGGGCTAAGTGACTAAAATAACTATTTTGTATTTTAACTATGTGAATGCTGTTGTTTTTGGCACAGTACATAGTTTTTTCAGTATTGAAGTATCACAGGAATCATTATTTTAAGATTGAGATTTAATATTTCAGTTTATGGTCAAAAGAGGCGAGTGTGTGAACCTACCAGGTGGTTACTGTCGTGTAGTTAGTTGACAGGGAGTATCAGGAGATAAGATGTTTCTAATGGTAATTTTGAACGTTGATGAATGTGTCTGCAGTTCCTAGAGTTCTCAGGTATGGGTATTCCCCAGATTTTAAGGGCCCTTGACATACATTGAATTTTTTGTAAAGGTTTAGTCGGACACTGGAATGTCGTAGAGAAGTTTTGGTCTGGTGTTATGCCTGTGGTTCTGTCACAACTAACACGAAAGCAATTTAGTCAAGGTTGATATTAGAGTTTAGGGGCTCCTGAAGAAATAGATTTGCACAGTAGTAAGTGGAGTATGTACTGAACAGGGAGTAAGTTTAGTCTATGAAGAGTGTGGGTGTGTTTGCCGGGATGGGATTTATTGATTTATCTTACTGCAGCTTTTAGTTGGGTTTAATGCTTTAGGTGTGTGACTGCAGTTGGATCCCCAAGCACGAAAAATAGCATAGGTGTGGTATGGATAAATAAGCGAGTGGTATAGTTTGAGAAGGGCATTTTGCGGCCGTAGTATCGAATCTTGGAGAGGATCCCAACCGTATCTTGGATACTTTTTTTTGGTTATATGCTGGATAGGAGTGTGAAATTCAGGTTGTTGTCAAGGTATAAGCCTAGGAATTTGCCCCCATTATATTCTGGTAATTAGCGTGATGTAATCTTAAGTTAATTTTGTGCATCCCTCCTGCTCTTCTACAAACGTAATATACTAAGGTTTTGTCAGTGTTAAGCGTACAGTTTATTGGCTGTCATCCCAGTCGATATTTTATCAGCTCATTCACAATGGTGTTGAGGTGGCAAGATTAGGGTTAGAAGATGAAAAAGTCGTGTCGTCAGCAAAGAGAATGGGTTTCAGGAGTTTGGATACGTGGAAGGTTCAATGATTTATATGAGGAAGAGCAGGGGACCAAGGACACTTCCCAGCTGAACTTCCAGTATCAATTGGCCTTGTTGCGATCTGTGTCTTTATGGTGACATACTGATACCTGTGGTAGTGAAAGCAAGATTTGAAATTAAGCGAAGCGCAAGGCCTCTTGTCCGTATGATCAAGTTTTGTGGAGTAGGATGTCGTGGTCTCCTGTGTCAAAAGCGTTTTATCTAATCAAATGAAAAAATTCCTAGTGGATATTCCTTATTTTCCAATGCTGGAGTAAACAGCAGATCTAGCATATTATGATTGATCATTAGTGCTTATATTTTTTCCTGAAATCCAAATTGGCAGTGTTTTGAGCATGTTTGCGCCGTTAAAAAGTGAATACAGTCTCCTGTGGCAATATTTCGCTGATGGCCAAATCGCCAGCATTTCTACTCTGTTGTGGTGTAGGGATAACCTTTCTAACTTATAACCGATGTCCTGCTAAATAAAATTAGATGGGAGCATCTCGCTGTCAAAAGTTAAAACTGATCCACATTGCTAAGGGTATCTTCTCTCTCCCTCCCACGGGCAGAAAGGAACCTAAGTGTCTACCTGACATTGGTATATCTTGGAGTTCCAGCTGTTCAAGAATGGTCCAGTGTCACATGTCTGGAAATTTTGTTGAAAACTATTGTGGGGTATCTGCCCTGGAGTCTCTCTCCAAGGTACACTTAGTGTTTGTGAGGGGGTGGAGGGGGTAGATGTAGGGGGGAAAGGCTAAGGAAGTGTGGTTGACTGTCTGATGCTGGGGGTGACTCTTCTTGGTGATTCGTGGCTGAGGTGCCCACCTTGTGGCGCTCGTGTCGAGGGCATTTCCCATCTGGTGTGTTCTTGCCTGAGGGCGCTCCACCGGAGTGGAAGTCTGACCTTGCGAATGGCGGAGTCCAAGCCGCTGGGCTTCCCTTGCAGTTTGTCGTCGGTGTCATCCTATGGTTCTTTAGTCCTATTTTGGATGAATGCTCATAACATCCGTTCGTTTTGGCACCTAAAACGCAGGTGTTGTTGTTGTAGTTCAGTGGGGCACCATTCTCAACCCCCCGGGCCCATCTATTCCGGACCTCTGTGTAACGACAGACTTCCCAGGACTAAATGATTACATCCAACAGAAACATACGAGTGTGATAGAATGATAACGTCGAGTGTGTCAGGAGGTTTCCTACAGTGACTGTTGAAGTTGGTCCACAGATGCCACCGCTTTACCATGGGCATTTTCAGACAACCTGAATGACTTGGGGGGTCGGGAAGCAGATGGTTACCATCTCATTGGGGTTACATATCCCCATCCTCTGGCTGGTGGGGGATGTCAACAGCCGGCACCATTATTCCTCCACAGGCAGATGGTGTAATGTCCAGCGGCGAGCATCGCCATTCCCGCTGGCCGATTTTGGGACGTCATCAGCACCACCGTTCTCCACTGGTCGATGGGGAATGCCAGCAGCACAATCATTCTCCACTGGCCGATTGGGGAACCATCGGCAGGCATCAGCACTGCTAATCTCTGAGACAGGAGCCAATTCTGCAAAAGAGAACCATAAATTTCCAGGGGTTGTCCATCGCTGTCGTGAAGCCGCACTGCTGGAACCGTCCTCTCTCCTGTCGTCTGTCCATCGTCCATCGGTGGTGGCCTTGATGCTGACCATCCTCGTGGTCGCGCTCATCTATCGAGACAAGAAGTCGTGTTATCCTCCGTGTCATCGTCGTCACTCATCTGAGTCATCGTTTGACTTCCTTCCCCAGCTGGTAGTGGATCTGTGCAGCTATTTACTATTTTACTGCAAGAAAAAGTGGAGCGTGAGTTGAAGCGAGATGCACACCCAACCTCGACCAAGGTCTGGCGTTATTAATAAATTGTAATGTTTTTGTGACTGAATTGTATTCTGAACAACTCATCACAAATGTTACCGAGCCATTAATTTAAAATAGTTCATTAAACACAAACATCCATTGCCTAACAAGTTGTTGGGGGCCCATTCCTTCATCATTGTGTCTTCATTCTTACTACTCCCACTGGATTGGTATAGGAATGCAAATAACTCTTTGACACAATTAGCTTAATGAACTCTAAGAAAGAAACTGTCTTTAAGGAGCACTACAAGATCATCTTTTTATACAATATGCACTGTATTGTAAGATACCGAGTGGGATTTAACAACATGTATATGAAAATCAAGAGCCAATCGAAGGTTACGAGTATGCAAAAGGCATCCAGTAATAGTAGTGGGAAGTGCTACCCGAGGCACCTGTTGTCCAATCCTCAATGGTGAAAATTTGGACACTGGGAAATTCCTGGGGCATCCTGTTGGGTTCCAGTTAATGCCAGAAAGAAGTTTACTGTATGGGTGAACACTGCTTCATATTATAATTTGAATTAGAATGAGTTTTTTTTTCTCCCCAAGGGAGTGGACCAATGCCCGGAGAAGGTACTGCAATACGCCGATCCGCGCAAAGGTGGAGCAAGCCCTAGCACTTCGCCATGATCCAAAAATCTTTAATAACGAAGATCCCCACATGGGGAACGTATCAGATATTAAGCTGATAAGAACAGATACTACACTTTGATCTTAGCCAAAAGGCCGAGAAGCCGATAAAGGAAAGTGCAAACAGGAAAACCTGTAACTAACGTTATTTGCATAGGAGGTTAAATGCTATACAAAGTTCGGTTAAGAAAGGCATCCGTTTTTGTAACTGGGAACTAGTGGAAATTCGGATGCATAAATACTTACCACATACTAGATCTTAAGAATATAAATTTGAATAGAAGCTAAACTGTTACAGGTAAATTTCCTCTCCCCCCCCATATATATTAATGATTAGGGAAAGGTTGGCCACTGATTATACTCTGGTACTTGCTTTCCATTTTCTTTGAAAGGACATCGAGCTGTCTAACCCACCCTTTTCCTACGCAATAAAGGTAATCATTACTATATATGGTTTAGCCATACTATTTTATAATTTTATGCAATTCCTCAGCTCTAATAAATTGATAAAGTTTTATGTGCATTCTAAATTTTCTGTAGTTTTCCCCAGTACATTAAATCCCATTCATTAATCTTTAAAATTTGTTTTGCAACAAAGAACAGATATTGAAGAGATCCCTTAGCTATGTGGTCAGAGAATTCAGTATAATACAAATGCTACTCTATGTTCATAACTACCCCCTGACAAACATCACTAATTATTTAGTCCTATAGTACTTATCATATCACCAGTAAACTATACAACTACAAAACTTATTTAAACTGTCATACATATAGAAACTGCATGGACAAATTAAAATAATCTTAACAATCTGATTATTATATGCTGTAGGGGAAGTGTAAAAACCCTAAGCCTGGAAATGGGAAATAATCAGGAATGAAGGTAGGTAGGCAAATTGTCCGTGATCAAGAGAATTTCACTAGCAAAACCAAGGCCCCCCCCCCCCAAATTCCCCCTCCCCTCGTCCAGGAGTATACCTGGATAGAGTTCGGTGTCAACGCCTCCCATTCATGACAGCCCTCCTGGCGGATCAAGCCTTATACAACTAGCAGTTACTACTGCTGGCTGCACCGCAAAAACAACGTACAGCCACAGCCCGGCATTGTCGGGATATTAGGACAAAACATTAACTTTTTTATTTTCGTTTCGATTTCTTTCATTTTTTTTTGTAACGTAAAGAAGCCCTTTCATTAGTAATGTGAAACCCAAAGTTCCAATAAGATAGCCTCAAAAAACAAACTGAGAAAAAAATTATTTACTAATCATCATACATTTGCAATGTACCGTCGAAGTGGTGACTTGAATTGTTTTGGCATTATCTACGCATAAAACAATGCAAAAACGGTATCTCTAATCGGTTAGATGTTCTGTACTTTATTAATCCTTATCTTCATTCTTAAAAAAAATAAATTTTTTTATGTTTTTTGGAACTTTCAGCCAAATATCTGACTTTTTTTTTGCCCTCACAAACATCAAAAACAAATTATGATAATCTCAAAAGCGAACCACTAGCTTGTAAAACAATCTATCCTTTATTTCTCTGTGAATTCATTACATTCCTGCTATTATTTAACGAATTTACCAGCTCATATATTGAATAACTTACTTCCGAGATAATCCGGCGAAACAGCCGACCACCTTTATTTTTTTTTTTTTTTTTTTCCGAGAAATAACATTTTTCTCAGTCTTATACTGCATTACTAGTGTATATCATAGTTAACCCATGTTAGTTTTTCTTTAATAAGGACCCTGGAGGTGAGAGAAGAGAATGAAGGCCCTTCTGAGAATGGAATCTATTATTCCCGATGGAGCGCTCTGGGAATATGCATATATTATCTATTCCTGGAGTATTTACCATCTCTTTGTTATTTAATTGTTTATTATGTCATATTAGATCAATTGTGATAGATAAATAAGCCGTAGAAGCTATAATAGCGTTATATTGACCATATCCCGGCCACCCCGAGACTTGAGTATTTTTTCCATGACGTCAACAAAATGGTTTCGGGAGGTTCCTGGTAGGTTGAACTCTACGTAAAGTCCCACCCACTGTATATGATGCCAAATCGTCATTATCTTAGAAAGAATAATACAGTTAAAATACAACGAAAAAAAACAGGAAAATAAAAAATAAAATTGACGAACGGGTGAGCACACCTGTACCGCGGTTGGTACGTCACCCGTAGGTTTTATTTAAATGACCCATAATTCCTTGTAGGAATGTCGTAGAACAATGATTCTGGTACCATTGTGCTGCCCATAGATTAAGCTATTTTTTCTATAAGATTAACTCAGTTTTGTGAATTTTTTTCGGAAAAAATTTTTCGTTCGCCGCTGAGTCACCTTAAAACCCCCTTTAGCCCTTGTCCATGCCAGCTTGAAGACTGCCGTGTCGTTGTAATCCCCCTTAGTAATGCAGGGAGGCAGTTGAACAGTCTCGGGCCCTGACACTTATTGTATTAGGTCTTTAACGTGCTAGTGACACCCTACGCTTTTCATTGGGAGATGTTGCATCGACTGGCCAAGTCTTTTTGCTTTCGTTAGCGAGTGATTTTTCGGTGTGCAAGTTCGGCACTAAACCCTCTAGGAATTTTCAGGTGGATATAATCAAGTATCTCTTCCTCCTGCGTTCCAGGAATACCGGTATTAGGACCTCAAGCGCTCCCAGTAATTGAGGTGATTTTTCATCTCCGTTATGCGCCGCTACGTGAAGGTCTCTGTACATTTTTCTAAGTCAGCAATTTCACACCAGCCTGAAAGGTGCTGTTTAGTGTGCAGCAATATTTCCATCCTAGATAGAACAAGTGACCTGAAGAGTGTCATCATGGGCTCGGCGTCCCTAAGTTTGAAGTTCTCATTATCCATCCTGTCATTTTTCTAGCAGATGCGAATGATACAATGTTATGGTCCTTGAAGGTGAGATCCCTCCAACATGATCACTCCAGGACTTTGACATTGTGTTTCCGCTCTATTTTTGGCCAGAATTTGTTTTGTACTCTGATGAAGATTTAATTAATTCCTCGTGTTTACCATATCTGAGTAATTGAAATTTCCTCATCGTTTAACTTCATATTGTTTTCTGCAGCCCACTGAAATGATTTGTTGAATGTCCGCCTGGAGGCCTTGCAGTGTCTGAAAATGGAAGACACTGTATGCAGATTCGGGTGTCAATCTGCAAAGGAAACACGGTGCCTGTGGCTGACATCCTTGTCTATGTCGATAGAGGATGAGGAACAAGATGGAGCGAGTCTGTGCCTTGTGAAACAGAGCTTTTTCAACCGTAGCTGCCAACTATCGGACTTTACTCGTTTGACACTACTCTCTCTGTTTTCTTTAGTGAGGAAAATATAGATCCATCGACCGACCTTTCCTGTTATTCCTTAGCACGCATTATTGTGCGCATCCCCTGAAGAATTAAACATATAATTACCCTTAATGTTGCAAACCTTCCTAAGCTATATTAAGGACATTGCAGTGGTCCATACTGAACTCATGCTATGGCAAGTCCAACCCGTCACCCACCCACCTACCCCCACTTCATTACCCAGGCAACCTATTTATAAAGCTACAGTTGGATGCAGTAAGATTTACCATTGGGCCATCAATTCTTATCCCCCAGGTCAATTTGTCCCAGGATGCAAATCGGCGCCTGAAAGCATACTGCAAATCAGACGAGAAGACGACCCCCACCAGCCACCTAACACCCAGGTACCCATTTTATACTGATGGGTGAACATGCACAACAGGTGTCTTCTGCTTTAGTGATGAATATAGGGAATACATTTTTGCTAATTTTACTGTAAAAAACCTCAAGACGCCTGTAACATCAGTGCCATATATCGGGGATCCCACCCACACAAACATCCCGAAACTTCAGTGAGAATCTAAAGTCACTAATAACAGACAAATGAACAAGCACCACCTTCTCTTAGCTGGAGACTTCAGTATCAACCTTGGCCACCAGGATCAGATTAAACTGATTTCAATCAACAATATGAGCAACGCACTTCTCATACCAACAATAACTAAACCAACCAGGCTGACTGAGACAAGTGCAACCATAATAACCTCATATGACAAATATACAATCCCCACTTAAACAGGGATAATAAACAGACAGGCACTACAACCAGATCACCCAGACGCTCTCCTAATAAAACTACCAAACCTTCCTCTTTTAACAAACAATAGTAAGCCACCACTCTGAAACAACAAAATTTCCATTGAATGATAAACAAGGTGTTTGAGGTCGACCGTTCGTCACAGTAAGGAGCAAGCCAGCAGTCACTCGTTTATTCTTCAACATACTGCAAGTTATACTTTGTATCAATCTAATCACATATTCTCTGGTATATAATTTCCAGTAGATCCTTCATGTGTTAGCCCAAATCACCGACCAGATGTTTAATAAGCGACCTAACTGATCAGATCAATCTACTGGTCCGAACCCCAGACTGTTTCAAATGTTTCGTTGGGACAATAAAGCAGACTGTAAACAGATTGGGGTTGTAGGCGCCCTTGATAAACACAAAATTAAATAGTAATCTCATGGAACGTGCACGTAAGCTTCCAATATACAAAATTCAGTATAGAAACAGAAATACAAAATACTAGAGCTTCATTTAAAGAGGTTATTAATAGAATATTCAAGAGGTTGCAAGTAGAATAGCAGTAAATCAACCAATCAAATCCTAATGAAGCTTGTGTAGTCTTGTGGTCAGTCAAACGTGCTTTCCACATGGGTAAATTGTCCATTTTTGTGGAACTTGTGTCACGCCCCTTGTTGCAGATATCCAAGAACCTAGCGTACAAGCAGAATTAAAAACAGGGAATGTTTTTTGGGTATGCCAAAAGAGATAAATCTGTGGACTAAATCCACAAGGGATTATTAAAGAGGACAACATCAAGCTGCTATTCATAGAAAACTGGAAGCTTTCTACAACAGATAGGAACATAAAAAGTCTGTTGGCAGAATGGTACTGCTGCCCTTGATACTGGCCATGTTAAGTCAGAACTGAAAGGCTGGAGTGCTGTCCGGGGAGACAGTAAATGGTGAAGCTGAGGTGCTGTCCCTGGGAGACAGAAATGGTGAAGCTGGAGGTGCAAG